TATTCTGTGCAAGGCATAGGGAGACACAAAAGCAATTCCTGCTTTCAAGAAGCTATATTCTACTGAGAGACACAAAACCATAAAAGACAAAACACAAGAGACTACTAATAAATTGGAGGGAGGGGAGAAGGTGGGGTAAAAAAGGCTTTCTCTAGGCAAAGGTGCATGATGTGAGTTTTGAAGGAGGCTAGGGATTCTAAAAGGTAGAGGTGAAGAAGAAGTACATTGTCCAGGCACAGGGGACAGCCTGTGCAAAGGCAAAGAAGTGATCAAAGGAGCGTCAAATTCTGGGAGCAGCAACTAGCCAATTTGGCTGGAACGTAGACTTCATGAAGAGTAGTGCAATGCAACAAAGCTGGAAAGGCAGGCTGGAGACAGACTGGGAAGGATTAAGCTGAGCAGTTCAGAGTTAATCTTCAAGTCAACAGGATCCTGCTAAAGATTCTTGAGGAGAGAGTGACATAGACAGGCCTGTGCTTTAGAATAGGAAGATTACTGGCAGCTCTGTGGAAGAGGGACTGGAGACTGGAGAACCTTTCTCAGGATGGTCAAACAATTAAGATCTAGTGAGCAACAGATAGATTGTGAAACAAAAAAAAATGGGGGCCACCATGGTTATGACCTCACATAAAAATTACAGCCACCTACAAGAATCACGGAATAAATCACAGAATCTCAGAGTTGGAAAGGACCTCAAAGGCTCATGTCATCCAACCCATAAATGAATACAAAGTCCCTCTACAACCCATCCACAAGTGGTTATCCAACCTTTGCTTGAAGATCTCTACTGAAGGAGTACTTACTATCTCTCAAGGCAATCAATTCAACTTTAGGATAGCGTGAATTGTTAGGAAGTTTTTTCTTGTATCAAGTCTAAATCTGCCTCTCTGCATATCTACCGCATTGTTCCTAGTTCAGCCAGCTAAGGCCTAGAACAAATCTAACTCCTCCTATTAACCTGTTCTTGATCATGCCATGCTAGGTCTTTAAAATCTTTTTCTAGATTGCTTACAGTATGGTTAAGATAGAATGACTAGAAGAGAATACCTTGGATCAAAGAGGAAAATAGGGGAGAAGAATGGTCCCTTAACTCCACCAAGTAGGAAAGTCTATATAGGCAGCTTACAGTCAGGATAGTAACCTAGGAGTTCAGATAGGAAATGCCATTTCTCCTCTAGGACCTAAAAGTATGTTTGCTGAGAAATAAGATCAACTCATCAAGATGTTACTGGGACATTAGGCATAGGATAGCCATACAGTTTCAATGTAATAAAGGAAGATAAATAAACACTATGTAGCTTTATAAGTAACTCTGGAACTCTGTAAATCTTTAAAACACTTGTGAGCCCTAGTTAGTAGTAATTAGAAAAAAACCAAACTGCACAGAATTGTATGAAATTGGAGGAACTGGTAAAAACTGCTTTGTCAAGAAGTTATATAAGCACATTAACCAGCAAATAAATCAAGAAATATTTAAGCACCTACTAAGTACAGAGAGCCCTTTGCTAGCTGCTAAGGGAGATAGAAAGTTTAGGATTATAGACTCAAAGCTAGCAGGGATCATCTTCTATTCCACTATCTTCATTTTATAAATCAGGAAACTGAGGCCCAGAGAAATGAAATAACTTGCTCAAGGCCACAATGGCAGTAGCAAAGCTTGAGATTTGAAGCCCAGTTTCTCTGATTCTCTACTGAACCACTGTTACTGCCTCCCACCCCTACCCCCATCCCTTTCCCCAACCAGTAGGCTGGAAGACAGCCTGGTACAGTGGAAGGGGCACAGCAATGGAAATCCCAACACCTGAGTTTGAACCCTGGCTCCGATGTTACCAGTTATGTGACTATGGGCTAATTTCTTAATTTCTCTGACTTCATTTGTAAAATGGGATAAATACTCACATAACTCATAGTTAGCTCATACAGCGTTTATGAGCAAAGTATTTTGTAGATCTAAAACACTTCAAGTGTATGATTTCACTGGTGTAGGTACTCCCACGGTAGAGAACAGACTGTTCTGCTCCTATAACTTAGTACATGATTTTGAGGATTCGCTGTGGCCAAAAAATTGATCATCTTGGGGCTAACCTGATCCTGAATCTCTGATCTTAGTTAGCTAGCTTGATCTGTTGGCAGTAGACCTACAGGCCAACTGTAGATCCCTATTTGAAATTGTCTCACTTGATAGGACCTGCCAGAGCTTATGCTCCCCTGTCATAGGCTTTGAGAATCCCAAGCCACCTCCATACCAGGCTGAGATAGTGGAGGAGAGCTTCAGTGGGCCTTAAAGTGCCTTATTAAATGAGTTGTTGTGCCCCTAGCTGGATGGTGAAAGTGAGAAATGCTATAGATTCCCCTGGATCAACAGGAGAGGTAGAAGCCAAATGGGTGGCTGTGGTCAACTCCAGGATCATAGTCTCCTGAATTCCTGGATTTGGGGCTATGATGGGAAGAGATATTTCAACTCAATTCAACAAACACTTATTAAGAACCTACTGTATATAAGGCACACTAGTAGGAACTCAGAATATAACAACGGAAAGAGAAAATAGTCTCTGCACTCAAGGAGTTCAGAATCCAGTACGGAGAAATAAGAGAGGTACACAAATCAGAATACAAATTAGAATATGTGATCTGAGAAGAGGAGTATAGTGGTTGATCAGATGGTAGTGAATCAGGGAAGGTAGCATCTAGGTCCTAGATTCTAGGAGGTTGCACCTGAGCTGGGTAGGAAAAAAAAGATTTCATCACGTAAGGAAAATCTGCAGACACAGGGTGGCATGTACAAGGCATGGAGATGGGATAGGGCTAGAAGAAACCCAGAAACATTAAGTGGTCCAGTTTGGCTGGAGTGTAGGATGCATGAAGGGAAATGGTATGAAATAAGGCCTGGAAGAAGGCTGGAACCAGATAGATTAGGGAATGCCTTGAATGCCAGGCTAAGAGTCTGTACTTTCAGTAGTAGACAAAGGGGAAACTCCTGAAGGTATAAAAGCAGGGGAATAATGTAATCAGACCTGTGCATTAGCAGTAGTATTTGGTAGCTGGGTAAAATGAGTAAACTGGACAAAGGAAAGGATAGGAAGAAAGACAGTTTCATTTTTGTTGTGTTGAAAGAGTATCTAGAAGCAGGAGAACTGAGATAGAGGTAAGAGATTAGTCACCTATGTACTGAACTAGTTTAAACCACTAGCCTAGTATTAATGGATGTAGAGAAGAGGAGCTATTAAAGGTGCTGGTAGAACAATATGAGTGGTAGGAGGAAAATCCTAAGAGTGTGGTCAGAGGGCACATACAAGAGTGTTAAGAGCAGTAGACTGAGGGCAATCAAGGCACCAGAAAAAAAAGGGAAGCGCATTACCTTTGGTTCTATGGAGGTGGGAGGAATATTCTCTCTAAATGGTCCTTTGGTGACATGGATTAAGTTAACTAGAGTATTTGCTTAAATGTCAGACCCAGGCTTTTCACTTTCCTTTGCTTGACTCCTGATTCCTATTTGCTGATTCCCAGCAGAGCTCATCTTAGGTATTGGTGCAGATCTGTGGCTCTATACTTACTGGAACACTCTCCTAGTTCAATGCCACCCAGCTCTAACCCCAAGCTCTAGCGTTAGTCACTCCTCACACAAATGGCTGTGAGAATGGGCCTGCTGAGTTGAGAGATGGTCAGACACGGTAAGACTAACAGTCCTTCATTAATCTCAATTATTTCGCAACCGGTAAGGTCACCTCTGCGTCACCATCATATTACACCGTGCTTCCCTTCACTTCTTGTACTAGCCCTGGATCAGTGACCATTTTCAAGTTGCCTTTTCTTGACTACTGATTTGAGATTTCCCAAATTATATGGAAATATCACAATGCTTATGATGTCAAGGGCCAGAGCCTGGAAAGAAACCCTGTGATGCAGTAGGAAAAAAAAAAGAAAGCACTGAACTGGGAGTCGGGAGATCTGGGGTTTAGTTCTAGCTTTGATATCAACTAAGTGACCTGGGCAAATAATTTCTTTCCTGGAGAATTCCAAGAGCTCAGTTTTCTCATCTGTAAAAATGTTTTCTAAAGTCCCTTCCAGTTCTATCATTTCAACTTGGCTGAGCTCTCTACATAGGCTGAATAATAAAAGGAGCCACTGGAACTCAGTCATAGGGTACCATCCCTACATTTTACTTGTCACCCTTTGGTAGTCTGGGGAAGCCTGTGAACCTCTCTTCTCAGAATGTTTTACAATGCATAAGATAAAGCACATAGGATTACAAAAGAAACCAGTTATGTTGAAATAGAGATGTAATTTTCTTCCTTCACCCCAGTTCATGGACTCTTTGAAATCTATCCCAACCCCTTGTGGTCCTGTGGACCCCAGGTTAAGAACTCCTGCCTAAGTAGACTATCTTTTTTCCTTAGGCTCTAAATGCAGCAACACCAACAAACACAAATTCTTTACTGCTCTAAGATAGCCTTCTCTCTTACATGCTCTTAATAAATAACCACTCAGCAGTTTTCAGGATCACTAGCTAAAATCCATCTTTCTCCTTGGTTACCGCCTTCCTCTCCAACCTCAGTACATACCAAGCTAGGAATGTACAGAGAGCTATACCACCTATATTTAAAGCAACACAGAATTTTATGGCAATTAACAATCTATATACTATACCTAAAGAACCTAAAGCATCTTTCTGGAATGCCTGTGTCCTCAGGCCAAATACTCCCCAGTTTGGAAATCTTTCCCTTTCTGCCAAATGTGACAGACGGGTCCTTTAATCTTCCTTTGGCTTCCCTCTTAGTTTGCCTCCCCCCCCCCCCACTACAAAGCTCCAACTTTCGATCTCGGCACCTGCCAGGCCAGTTCCTCTACACTCTTCCTTCCCACGGTCAAGTTCTGGGGGAGCTCCTGCAGATGGGACCCCAAAGCGCCTTCTGAGTCCTGGCGGGGTCATTTCGCCAAACATTTTGCCAGGTGCAAAACCACTCCTCTCCCAAGACAACAAGTATTGATTAAGCACCTACTGTGTGCCATGCGGGGTAAGTGGTCAGTCCGGGAGATCGGTAATGTTCAAGGCCAGACCCCGGCCGAAGGCAGGCGAGGGTGGGCTCTTCAGCATCAGGGGGCACCTCCTCCACCGGACTGAGCTCACGCTCGGCCCCGGGGGCCCTCATCTCCAGGGATGGGGGGTAGCCACGCCCCGGGGGCCCAGGGCGGGGGCGAGGCCAGGTGGGGGGAGCTGCAGGGCGTTGCCAGCTGCAGGCGGCCCCTGGAGGAGATCGCGCTCCGCCGGGGGCCCCCTTTGCCCTGCCCCCTCCCGGCCCGGCCGCGCCCCAAGCTCATACCCCACCGCCGTCCCCACCGCTTACCCGGGGACTCGCTCCGGCTCCGGTCCGGGACTTACGACGTGACCCCCGCCCTGCGCATCCCCGCCTGCTCGGGAGCTGGGGCAGCTGCTGCGCCTTCGCTCCCGGGGGGCTTCGGAGGGAGGGTCCTACCTTGAGCTCCCTCCACCTGCCCCACCCGGGGGCCGGACTCGCGGGGGGCTGAGCGAGAGACCCCAGCCCGGGGCGAAGCCCCCCGCCTGCACCCGCCGAGGCAGGCTCGGCTCGGTTCCGCTCGAGCGGCGGCTGTTACCGGCTGCGGCAGCTGCGGCCCCACCGTTCCAACAGCCGAGACTACTCCGGCCCGCTGGCAGAAGCGCCCTCGGCTGGTGGGCGGGAGGGGGGCGGGCCGGGAGCTTGTGCGCCCCCTCCCCTTCCCCCTCTCGACAGGCGGGCGGGAGCGCGCTGGAAGGCGGTGGCGGGGTGGGGGGAGCAGAGCCGCAGGGACGGGTACGAGGCTCAGCTCGCGCCGCCTGGTGGAGGGGGAAGGGAGGAGGCGCACGAGGTGGGGAGGGAGGGGGCGAGAGTGAGGAAGAGCGCGTGCTGTTCGCTAGCGAAGAGGGTGGCGGGCTGGCGGGCTGGGGCAGGAGTCGAGGCTACGGGGGTGGGGGGGAAGCGGTGTAGCAGCTTCGGCCTGACGCAGGCGGGCTGGGGAATACCAATGAGCGCCCCCCCGCCAAGCCCGGGGACTGCAGAGCCTGTGACTGCACCAGCAAGGTCAGTCACAAGCCGAGCCTTCCCCTGCTAGGCCCCTCGGAGGGGGCTGTGTGCATGTATGCATGCGTGCGTGCATACATTCAGCAGCAGATTGCAGGGAGTTTGTGGAAGTATGCATGCGTGTATGCATTGGTTCATTCATTCATTCATCTGTCCATTCATTCGTTCATTCATTCATTCATTCACGGGCCCTCATCAACTTCCCCTCCAGACTCAAGTCTCTGGAAGCATCTTAGAGGGAGGGGGAGGTCAGAGGAACTGTGACTCCTGGAGGAGGCGCCAATCCAACCCAATCTGAGCTTCATATTAGAGCATTTGGACCTAAGGAACCCGATACAATCGAAAAACTGAAACTGAACTCAGACCCCTCCCCACCCTTCTATAAATGCGGGGGGGGGCGGGGCGGGGCTGCTGTTGGGGTCCAGCCGGCTTCACCTTTGGCTGTGGCTTTGCATTCGTGGTGGGTGCACAGGTATCTTACGTTAGAAAGCACTCCCACGTGGACCCGAGCCGTGAAGCGTGAAGCTGCAGTGGAGCCAGATTGGCAATTTGAGAGAGTGAAGCTCTGCATTGCACATCTGTCTGGGGAAGCGGGAATGACTGATTAGGAGGTTTAGCTTTGGTTAGGAGATACCTTCCAGCTCTTTTTAGGCCAACCCCTCGATTTTCAGGGGAGGAAACTGAGGCCCAATGAGGATGTGATTTTTCCAAGGTCACAAAAGCGCTAAATAGAACAACTAGAGTTGTTCCCCACCCTCCCTTGGAAAGTGTAGGATTTTGTTCTCTGATCTTCCCACTTACTCTGGGACTTTTCGCTCCCTTTCCTTGACCTTTTTCAGGCAGACCCATCCAATCACAGGAGCTCATTTTCAGTAGCTCTGTCACAGTTTTTAAACATGACATGTATTCTGTTTGTTAACTTCTGCTAACTGTTGACTAGTCACATTAATCCATCCAGAAGCATTTATTAAGCACCTTTTATATGGCAGTAGCTGACCTTGAGAAGCCTAGTCTGGGGGAAGAGGGGGATCACATGCACATTTATAGGTATATATGCAAAACAGATACCAGATAAGTTTGGAGGAAAGGCACTGGCAGTTGGTGAGATAGGAAAGGCTTCATGTAGAAGGTGATGTTTGAGCCAAACCTTGAAAGAAACCAACGGTTCTTGGAGAAGTGAGGAGGGAATACATTCCGCACAAGAAAGAGCAGCCCATGCAAAGATATGAGGATGAAGTGCTGTGTTCAAGGAACAGCCTTGGTATTCATGAAGAGGAATAACATGAAATAAGGCTGTTTGGAGAGGTAGATTGGGGCCAGCCAGGTTGTGAAGGGCTTTAAATGCCAAGCAAAGGCTTATATTTTATCCTAGAGTAATAGGGAGCCGCTTGAGTTTAGAGAGTAAGGAATGACAGTCAGATCTGTGCTTTTGAATATTACTAGGCAACTGTGTGGAGGGTAGATTGGAGTGGGGAGAGACCTGAGGCAGGAAGACAAAATGAGAGGCTGGAGGAGTAGTTCAGGCAAGAACAGAGGTGGTGCCTATATAAGGGTAGGGAAAGGGGCCTAAGCAAGAAATGTTGGGGAGGTAGGAATGACAGAGTTTGGTGGAATTGGTGAGGTCTGGTAACTGGGCAAGTGGTAGGAGGGGGATTACTAGTTGAGGATGACACAGTGGCTGCAAACCTGGGCGGATAGAGGAGCTGTGGTACCCTCAGTAGGAACAGGAAAGTCTGGAGGAGGAGGGAATTTAGGGGGAGAAATCATGAGCTCTCTTGGAGTTTGAGAAGCCAGTGATTGATTGATTTGGATCTGGGAATCATCCTCATAGAGATAACTAAGCCCTCGAGAGCTGATGACACCAGCCCTCTGGGTACCATTTCCTGACATAATTAATAAGGCTTCTATTTTTAAGAGCAAGGTCTGTCTAGCTGTCTTTACACACTTTCCTGCCTATGTGCCTTTGCTTATGCTTTTTCCTATATCAACAATGTCTCTCTCCCCCCTTCACCTGTTGGATTCCTACCTGTTGTTTAAAGCTCAGTGTAAATGCCATCTCCTCTGTGAATCCTTCCCTGATCTGTAATGACTCCCCTCCCCCGCCCCGTTTGGAATTCATATAACATTTTGTTTTGCAAATCTAATTAATGTATCATGTAATATCATATATTGTAATTATTCGTGATTGTGTCTTATCTTTCATTAGGCTGTAAGCTCTGTGGGAACAGAGATTGTATTTTAGCTAAATTTACATCTCTCACAGTGCCTAGGACAATCCTTGTCCTAGGCTTGTCCACAATAGACACTTGATAAGTGTTTTTTGAAAGAATGAATGCCTACTTTATGTCTAGACTGCCCAAGATTCTTTTGACAACATTTACTCAGGAACTTTATACAACTGATTAATACAATGGATTTTTCTGTTCACCTATCATACATTCTTTGAATACCTAGTGTTCAAAGCTAGGATGGAAGGTTGTACCAAAAAAGAAACTGATATGTGCCTGAAACAAAAAAATTATAAAAAGACATGAATAAGTGCCAATGATATTCAATAAACCCCCTGATTTACATTATTATAACTTACTTTTCCTGGTGCTCAATTGTCTATATTAATAATGTACTGAGTTATGCAACCCTCACTCCTTTCTCGGTATGTTTGATAAATAAACATCTACATCATTTGCTGTGACAGCCCAGACAAGCAGGTAGGCAGTGGTGTTTGGGACCCCCTTCAGAGCTGAATTACTCCAGTAACTCTATAGGCAGAGGACCCTGTAAAGGGTGATGAGCTTCTTTCTGGGTTAAAACTAGAGCTATCAATGAAGAGGAAGATGTCACAAATCTGCTCCTTAAGAAATCTCTGCTGACTTCCTGGAATATGATAATGTATAAAATGCATAAAATATACATTATTGCTTATCTAAAAGTATAATAAGCCATAGCTTAATTTATTTATATTTTTCTGCCCTTTGCAGCATTTCTTTCTCCTCTGCCCAAGTGATTTTAGGATATACTAGATCCTTGGATTGAAGAGAGACAGAGCATATGATTGATCACAGTGGGATAGGATACTCAGAAGAAACTTCTTGAAAAAACTGAGCTTTGAGCTGAGTCATAATGGAGAAAAAAGAGCATCAGGCAGCCTAGGAAGAGGAAAGGAATGAACAAAGCCCTGTGGACGAGTGTGTGAGATTTGGATGGGGCTAACCTGATTAGAATAGAAAGGATGTGATGGGAAGTAGTTTGTAACATATTCTTATATCATTTGGTCTTTTGTTGTTTTACGTGTGCTTGGCCCTGGAGGCTGTGGTGGTGTATACTCTCCTCTCCAGGATGGGTCTGGACCCATGAACAAGAACTAGCTTCAGTCCTGGGGGAGTCTGACAACCTAAGAGAAGGGTCAGCCTCTTTCTCACACTCTTTGGCTCTTTATAATCCTAACCTGGAGCCCCACCGAGAATTGCTTAAGGTTTTAGTTTGGGCTCATGCCCAAGATCTCCTCCAAAAAGTGGGGAGTAGAAAAGGACTCAATCTACAATGCAGATAAGGCCAGTTATTTATTTCCTCCAAAAGAAATGTTTAACACACAAAACCCACAAGTGCCCATTGCCAGAAGAAGCCAGTAACCTTAGCTATTCTTATTCTTTTTCCAGAGGTTGATACTCAAAACATCAGCACATGATGCAGTTTGCAGGACTGCTGGATTTCACATTTCACCTCTTCTCACCATGTTCTTGTCTTCTGGAAAGCCTGACCAAGGGTTGATTGATCTTCTCCTGTCGTGGTTATCCTCTCCAATGCAGAAACTCTCTCTACTGCCTCTAAACAAGGGACCCAGGATCTCCGGGTCTTTTGAACTTAAAGGTTGTCTCCGAGGCTGGACATGTCTATCTCAGAAATTACTTTTCATAAACCTGTACTCAGGAAAGGAATAAAACAGAAGCAGCAGCCCCGGGCCCAAGGCCTAGTCTCTGTCACCTAATCTTGAGCATGCTGGAGCTGCCGTCTGCCAAGTTTACTGTTTCTGCAGGTCATCAGCCCCACCCTCACCCCTTGAGATGCTGACATCTCCAGATAGAAGAGAGGTAGAAGGTAG